AAGAACCAAGGTCGTGTAGGAAGGATTCGGCGACTTACCCATGGCCTGGAAACCACCACCTCTCTTTACCGACTTTCCCTTGATGTTGGACGACTTGCGGAACGAAGCAGCCTGCTTCAGCGCAATAAACGCTTCGTCGCCATCCTCGTTCTCCTGCCCCTCTTCGTGGCCGTTCAGGATCCCGTCCATGTCAAAGTCAACGTCTCCCACATCCTGGCCCGCGTCGCTGCCATTGTCGAACAAGTGATCGGCGATGTCGACCTCTCCGTCGGAGGGAGTGGGAGATGCGGCGCGACGAGGCATCTTGAAGCTCCTTGTGATTTTTCTGGCGAGGCCCCCCGGGTTCTGCGGTCGTAAGTTTGGGCCCGTCGAAAAAGTTGATTTTCCCAAGGCGCGGGTTTTGCGAAACGGCAGAGCATCCAAGAGCTGGGCGGCGTCTTTTCGAAAATTTGGGCTTGGGCGGGACGAGAAATTTCTTATCGGATGGCCTTATCTTAGCGTCGTGGGGCAGGCGTTTGTCGGCAGGGGTCTTTAGCGGGTCCAAGTGGCTGTCACTGAGCCTCGTCTCGTGCTCACCAACCGCGCGCGACTGTCAACCTTCAACTACCTTACATCTACAGTTCTCGTTGCCAATTTAGCGAGGTACGGCTGTCAATTTCGACTTTCCTCAACAGACACCCGGGTATCATCATGGCGAGCGAAGACGTCAAAGAAGAGAAAGATGCTCTCGATGCGCTCGAGATCGAGGCAAAGGAGTTCGACAAGGTAAATGCGATCGCCAGACAAACCAAGGTGCACACCTTCCAAAGCCAAACGCTAACAATTTTCCCCTTCACCCGTTTCACAGGATGCAGAAATCGACAGGATCCTCAAAGCCTTCAGGCTAGACGCCTACGCCGTCCTCGACCTGCAACCAGGCGTCCCCGAATCCGACATCAAAATCTGCTACCGCAAAAAGTCCCTCCTCATCCACCCGGACAAGACCAAGAACCCGCTCGCGCCCGACGCTTTCGACCGCCTGAAAAAAGCCCAGACGGAGCTCATGGACGAGAAGCACCGTGAGCGCCTCGACGAGGCCATTGCTGACGCCCGCATGCTCCTCATCCGCGAAAACAAGTGGACCGTCGACAGCCCCGAGCTCAAGACGGACGACTTTGCGAAAAAGTGGCGCAACAAGGCGCGCGAGGTGCTCATCGACAACGAGCACCGCCGGCGGCGGCAGATGAAGGCGCAGATGCAGGAGGAGGGCCGCGAGCAGAAGAAGGAGGAGGAGGAGATTGAGCAGCGGAAGCGCAAGAGGCAGCACGAGCAGGACTGGGAGGCGACGCGGGACCAGCGCATCAGCAGCTGGCGGGATTTCCAAAAGGGAAAGTCGGGCGACGGGAAGAAGAAGAAGAAGATGAAGCCTATTGGCTAAAGTCTGCAATCACGAAAGTGGGAAGGGATTGAGCTCTAGTATGGGTTTGCATTGTTTTCGTCTTTTTCTCCATCTACAGGCGGGAAAGGGGGTTGGTGTTTTGAGGGGATCATTCTTCACTACAGTTCGACAGGTCTCGACTACGGATTACTCGGGCACAAAGCATGCACACAGCATGTTTATATCAACGAATCAGTGAGTTTGTTGTTTATTGACCACCGCGGTTATGTCCCTAACCATCTCAGAAGTGCAATGCTCGTGTCTCCTTCCCCAAACGTTCCCCTTATCCCCTTTCGAGGGAGTTTTTATCTACCAGGTAAGCACCTTTCCCTTCCGTTCGTTGTATCGTGGCTATGATTGCTTCATGATTTCGAAAACATGTACTTTTGGCACCTCTGCTCGAAAGCTTCGTGATATGTTGAAACCCGGGAGTCGCCCCCTCCCCCCCTCCTACTCCTTCAGGATTCTGTTATCCAACCCCCGGATCCTCCACTCATGCCTTGTTCTTCTTCTTGTACTGGATGAACCGTCCCAGATTCAACACAGCCTCCTCAGTACGCGTGCGCAGCTCAGGAAGAGTTCTCTTATCAATCGTCTTGACCAAAGCCTTGACCTTGGGCTGAACCGCCTCGAGGTGCTGGATAAAGTTGTCCTTCCAGAAGACCTCCTTGTCGCAAGGCATGTCCTCGTCTCCGTAAATGTCGAACAACTGGTTCAAGGCCTCGACGGCGTCGGCCGCCGGGGTCTCTGGCAAGGCCGTCACCACCGTGATCAGGAACACGCCAATCTCCCTGTTGAGCGCAAGGGGCGTCGGGTCCCGCGCCAGCTGGCCCAGGACGCCGATGCACTTTACGCCGAGACCCTGGAAGGGATCTTCGGGCTCCTCGTCCTTTGCCTTGTCTCCGTTGGCCGCCGTCTCGGCCGCCTGTTTTGAGGGCAGGTTCTTGGTCGCGTGGTACAGCGCCATGAACTTTGTGTGCTCGTCGCCGCTGAGGGGTAGGCGGCGGGGTAGGCTGCGGGACACGGCCCACGCGAGGCTGGTGACTTTTGTGGCGAGCTCGACGTCGGCGGTGTTGGCGGCCAGGATCGGGGCGATGACTTGGCCCCAGACGGCCTTGCCGGACGGGGCCCAGGCCTTGAGGATGCCGGCGTTGTGGTCGTCGGAGAAGTCAAAGACGGAGATGGACCAGGCGATGTTGCTGAGGGCGGCCAGGGCGTGGGCTTGTACCCGGACGTCGTCGCCCTCTGCTTGTGAAGATGATGGGGTGGCGAGGGTGATGAGCTGCGGGATGGCCTGTTGGACTAGCTCGCGCAGGGTGGGCAGGTCGTCCATGGTCGCCTCCTCGTCGACGTCGTCGTCGGCGCCGGTGACGAGGTCCATGTCGGCCTGCATTTCGTCTTCGTCCATGGAGTCATCGTCGTCGTTCTCTTCGTCCTCACCAATATCCTCGTCGCCGGAGCCGTTGTCCTCCTTGACGTCCTCGTCCATGGCGGTGTCGTCGTCTTCTATTCCGTTCCATTCCTCCTTCTTGGCCTTCTTGCTGTCGCCTCCCTGGAGAGACTGCTGCAGCGTGGTTCCAACGTCAGCCAGAATCTCCAGGGCAAGCTGAAGAACCTCGGTGGGGTTGGACCATTGGCTCCTGGGTGGCAAATCAGTTTCCGGCGTGGTGTTCTTGAGTGCCGATGACAGGATCGGGATGAGTGAAGCGTCAGATAGATCCTTGGGGCCCGGGGTGCTGTCGAACCAATGCAAGGTGGTGAAAATGTTGTGCAGAATACCGCAGGCCAGGACGCCCTTTGCGCCAGCGACCTCCTGCAGCTTAGTCAAGGCCGTGAGCGGCTTGGGGCTCTCGTCGGCGACGACATCCTGCGCCAGACGCTGGTTGTCTTCGGAGAGGGTCAGGAGGGCCGAGAGAGCGTCGAGACAGATGCTTGACGGTGTGTCGGGGTGAGCGATGACGGTGAAGAGCAAGTGCTTGATACCCTCGATGCCCACAATGGCCTCGAGAACCTCATCCTGGGCCTCGGCGAGAGCAGACAAAAGGCCAATGACGGACTCGGTGATGGTCCATGTGACCTTTGTCTCGCCCTTGCTCAGAGATGAGCCCTTGGCAAGGTTTTGGAGAATCTGGGTTTGTCGTGTTAGCGCACGGTAAACACTCACACTCACTCACACACACGGGTTCTTGTTAGTGAGTTTGAAATGAGTGGCAACTTGACTTACAGTCTGAGAAGCAAAACCAATGGCGCTCAACACATCTTGACGGTACAGGTGAATGCAAAAGTCGGCCTCCTCCTCCTCGGCGAGAACGCGCAAAATGTCCCAACCGGCGGCGCGGCTATCGAGGCTGGCGTCGGTGAGGGTCTCGTTCAGGACGATGTGGACAATCTGCTCACGCAGCAGCAGCTTCCGGCACTTTTCGTTGGAGACGAGGTTGGAGACGGCCTCGGCGGCGGCGGTGCGCGACTTGGGGTCGGCGCTCTGCAGGTCCTTGATGACGGGCAGGATGGACTTTTCCCTGAGGGCGGCGAGCTCGGGGTCGGAGGGGGGCTTGACGGTTTTGGCGATGGGGTCCTTGCGATGGCTTGGGCCGCCTCTGTTTCGTCTTGACTTTCCCATTTTGTATGACTATGATTGGGTGTATTTGTGAGATCTTGTGTGGTGTGTTATGGGTTGTGAAGAGAGTGAGGATGAGATATTGTGAGGTTTGGAGATGGCTTCTTATTCGGGATTTGGGCCAATGTTCGTGACCGACCCTATCAAAAAAGTTCCCAATGCTTCACTTCCCGAAAAAATAGAGTGACGAACTGAAAAAAAATTCAAAAAAGGTGTTGCTATGGGCAGCCACAATGTGGCTCGTGTTCCCGCCCGGCGCCCCGTACCACCGATCTCCATTCGCCAATCACCAAGCGCCTCAGCAATTGGTCCCCGTCCGTCGACCAGATCTATCAGTACGTACTCATTTTCCTCACGTTGACTGTGGAACACAACGCGGAATGACGGCCCACGAGAGAAAGAGCACAGCAGGGATGACATATTTAGTGTACTATACATAGGCAGACGCGGGCAGACACATGGCTCGGATACCCGATCGAGGGAGAGAGTCCAGGCTTGTTTTCCGGGCCGGAAAGTTCAAGCTTCAGAGTTCAAGGTACGGATGCCCCAAAGGCTGACCGCTGACGGGAGCCTGCAAGGTACCTTTCCCCGCCCACTGCGTAGGGGCGCCACGCTAAGGTCAGGAACAGTACATTGCGTTCCCCAACCTTGTGAGACATTGGGAGAGACAAGTTCAATTGACGTTTAACACCTCTTAGCTGTCACGCCTGTCAAGTACATAAGGCATTTGGCAATCGCGTTTGATGGAACTCAACCCAGGTACGTAGCTTACGTACTGCTGCTGTAAGTAGCACTAAGTACATTCCTAGGTACGTAGAATGATGGATGACATTGCTGTCACCGTGTCACACGCCCCTTCCTTGCTTGGGACACCACCAGACGGACGCCAAGCCGGACACTTTAAACACCTTTTTTTCAACGGTCCCCTTAACGGACTTCACTTAATGCCACTTTTGCTTTTTTACCTTCGCGTCTCTCCCTCGATCCCTTTTCGTACAGCTGTCATTATCAGCGCTCCGTACAGATACCAATACCTACCTGCAGTTCTGTACCTACAGTCTTCGGATCCCCGTCGACTATCGCTCAGCCTCTCTCGCACAAGCACACGTACGACCGTGAACACTATCTCTCGAATCCTCGAGTCCACGTCAACCTTGACGCATCACGATCACTAGTACCCATCCAAACTAAAAGCAAAAGCAAGAGCAAAAGCTTCGAGATCGTCTGTCCACCCCCACCACGCGCATCTTCCTCCGGGCCACGTCCGGACCAGCTCCACAGATCCACCACCCAGTACCCACCAAAGCTCGCGTCTGTGACATTGCACCACGCTGCACAGCCCAGCTGGAGCAGACAACCCTGGGATCTCAAATCTCTCGTCAAGGTCTGGCCCATCTAGGTGATCAATTGCCGGCAACGTTCCAACAGGGGAGGAAAACGAAGGGGAACCGCATGGGAAAAGGGGACCACTTGTTGATTCCCACAGTTGCGCTAACTTTCTTCCCTTTCGTGTACGGAGTGCCTACGAACGAATACCTTGCGCATCGCATCTCACGGCATCTCTCGTCCCATCCCGGCCAGTCCCATCTGATCCCGTCCCGCTGGCCCGCTTCAGCAACTGCGTCTGTTTCAACTGCTGTGCTGTCCTGTACGCTCGCTGCTGCTCAGCTTTAGCCTCGACCTTACTCGCCCTCCTCCTGCTCCTGCTTCTACTCCTACTCCTGCGTCGATTACCCTTCAACTTTGCATCTGGAGCTCTCCAACGGATAACGCAGCCCAGCCAGCTTCTCTACCACCTCGACGGGAAGATGTGAGACGCCCAACCCTCGGATCACCGCTCCCCCCTCCCTTGCAACTTTCAGTCCTTTTTTCGGTGAACGTGTACCATCCACGCACGCTTCGTCTTACCTTCGCTTCCACTTCTCCCTTGCCCTTCTTACTTTCTCTCTTCCCCTCTTCTTCCTTTAAACTGTCCTCAGGCCCATCGCTGCTGCACCTCTCCGTCCCTCCCAGATAGAGAAGCATGCCGGATCCATGGCGCCAATTACGCTCCTTCGTTTTCCTCAGCGATGAAGAGATGGGGAAGAAGGACGACGACCACCACCGCCCTGGCGGCAGCGCCATCAAGAACCCCATGCTGCTTCGAAACAGGAACCCCCAATGGCAGCCCGCCGCCAAGATGCCCTCCCGCCGCCTCTTCCGACGCATCGCCTACCTCCTCGTCATTGCCGCCGGCCTCTGGTACCTCCTGAGCGACCTCTCCCTCGGTTTCGGCCAACGGCCCCCGAACTACATCTACCCGTACCCCGAAGACGCCTCTCCGTCCCGCGATCCCTCGTCACGAAAGCCCGGCCGACTAGCTCAAGGTCAACCCATCCCGCCGGCCGCAGAACACGACTACAATGGCCCCGTCAAGTTCCACCGGCTCGCCAACTCGCTGCACGCCATTGCTGCTACCAAGGGCAGCCAGCCTATCAACCAAAATGTCCTCTTCGCCGCCTCCAACTTGCGCAGCATATCGAGCTTGCTACCGTTCGCATGTAAGATGGGCACTGAGTTGAGGAGCTACGTACACTTCGCCGTCATGAGCAGGAGCGACATCAACCTCGACGAGCTCAAGAAGATCAACGGCGTGGACGATACCTGCTACATCATCTGGCACGATGCCCGAGCCGACTTCTCCCCCCTCTCGACCGACGCTCGACTCGAACAATCCGCGGTCCGCGCGCTGCGACACATAAGCACATACATGCATCCTCAAGCTATCCTCATTGACGGTTCCGACGACGAATACGTTCCCTTCACGAAAGGAATGCGCGACGAGACAGGCAGGCTCAAGACCCCGCTGATTGAGCTTCCTGCTGGTGCATGGACACATCTTTCATGGCTGTCGAAGCTCGACAGTGCTTCCCTGGCTGCGTGGAACCAGGTCAGCGTCGACATCCTGATCCAGGCCCCGGCGAGCGGGTCAGGCAGCCTGTTGCGGCTGCTCAAGTCTCTCAATGACGCCGATTTCACTGCCTTCTCGATCCCTCACCTCACCATTGAGCTACCGCAAGACATTGAACCTGCGACGGCCAAGTTCCTCGAGACGTTCCGCTGGCCGCCGCCACATGTGCATAACCCTGGGCGTGTGCAGATGCTCTCCCTAAGGCATAGAATACCGAGACAGCGCATGACGGAGGAGGAGAGTTCCATCCGATTTCTCGAATCTTTCTGGCCAACAACGCCAAAGTACTCTCATATTCTAGTTCTTTCACCGCAGGCGGAGCTTGCGCCTGGTTTCTTCCATTGTAGGCATACCCCATGTCAAAAGAACTGAAACATCTGACTAACGATTACCAGACCTTAAATACACGGTGTTGGAGTACCGCTACTCTCGCCTGACCACCCTCCAGAAATGGGACCAACGTCTGCTTGGCATTAGCATGACCACGCCTTCCATGTACCTGAACGGCAAGAAGGATTTCATCGAGCCGACGGCAGAAGGCGCAAGCGATCTCGAACCCGGAACCTCTTACCTGTGGCAAGCTCCCAACAGCAACGCCGTTCTCTTCTTCGGCGACAGGTGGATCGAGCTGCACGGCCTCGTATCGCAAGTCGACGCGCTGCAACACGCGCGGGGTGCCGAGCCATCGCCGGCGCTGATTGCCGAAAAGCAGGTCAGCAAGATGTACCCCTCCTGGCTGGAACACATGCTGCGCCTGTCCCGGCTCAGGGGCTACTTCACGCTGTATCCCAGCGCGGAGACGGCAGCCACGATCGCGACAGTGCACCAGGAGCTCTACCAGGCCCCCGAGGAATACGAGAAGGAAGGTGGGGAGGGTAAGAAGACGGCGAGTCTCTCGGAATCGAGGTTTGGCTCTGGGTCCCTGGTTCAGACAATGGACACGCTGCCGAACAATGGTAGTCTCAAGCCCGCCAATGACCTTCCCCTGCTCGGCTGGGAGGGCGAGGGTACGAACCTAAGGCACATCTATCAAATGGCGATAGAGTACATGTTCACATGGCGCGAGCAAGTCGGCGGCTGCAGCAAAGAAGAGTCCCAGCGGGATCATGTGGATGGGTCCGCGAGGGATCTGTTCTGCACGCCTGATGGTAAACTCAAGGCTTAATAGAGAATGAAGTGAGTGCGGAGCAAAATCCTAGGGGAAGAAAGCCCGTGAATTTTGTGCCAAGTGTATACTATATAGACCCTTTTTATATACCCACGGGATGGATGGAACATCAGCATGGACTGACACGGCGCGACGAAGACAAAGGCACAAAAAGGTGGGATACAAATAAGCGAATTGAGATTTTTTTGTTTGCAGAATGTTCATTTCAAGACTGGTCCCGCAACAAAAGCTGCTGCTGCTGCTGCTTCTGCAGTAGTTGATGTATTTTTCTGTCCTTCTTGAGAGTTTGCAGATATTTTCGTGATGACGAGTAAGACGACGCATGTTCCCACGATGCTGAGAGCCACCACGGCGAGGACCTAGGGTATTCGAGTCAATATAAAAGCAACCTCCTAATTTGCTGTGAGAAAGAGGCGGGGAGATAATGAGAACTTACAAGCTGCGTCCTCCATCCGGTTTGCACGATGGCCGCTTTGCGACTATACTTGTTGACGGTTTCTTACATGCACATTAGCCATCTGCGCGTCTTGCAGGCTCCGCAGTGAAGATGTGGAACAGTGGGAAAAGGGGGACAAGGAGCAGAGGGTGGAAAGACTCACTTATGTAGTTCCCGATCCCGAGACACAGACACGCGACGGCCAAGATCCAAAAGATGATGCCGAGGGGTTTGGCCATGCGCAGCTCGAGCTGGCTGGGCTCGGATTTCAGGTGGAAGGAGAGGACGATGGCGACGGCGACGATGGACATGTAGACGGAGAGGCGGAGGTAGCTTAGGAATGCTGTGCGGTGAGTTGGTGGGTGGTTAGTATGTAGTTCAACTGGTTTTGTTGTGATGTTTGAATGAAGCGCCGACGGGCCGAAGGGAGTGAGAGGATGAGCGAGAGAGCGTTTATGAGAAGAATCAAAAGTATGAGTAAAAAGAGAAGACGAAGGGTGTTGGACGTACTCCTCTCATTTGCGCAGTGGTCGCGCGCATCGCTGGTTTCGTTCTGGAAGAGGAGGGGGCCGAAGATGGGCCATGCGAGGAATGTTGATTTTCCCGCGTGGCCTGAGCCGCTGTCGATGGTGATGAGTTGTCAGTTTGAGACGGTGTTATTACAGACGAAGAAACCTCGGACAGGATCAAGTGTCGAGCGAGGGAAAGAGTTAGTATCATACTTACCCAAGGTCGCCGACGTCAATTGGTCTCAAGAGCTCTGAGGGCCGGAGGGGCGCGCAGCAGTGGAAGGTTAGGTCTTCGTCGTCCATGTCTGGTCGCGAAGCCATGGCTGAATTGCAGTATGCTCAATTGATTCGAATGGTCAAATGTGAATTGAAGACTCTGAGTGTGAACATGAGGTTGAGTGACGGGAACTTGGAAGTCTGGGCACGGCAGGTTTGGAAATGGCAACCGGATTTGATCACAAGCGCCATGTATGGTGTCATTTGAGCACTGTATGGTTTCTACCAGACTAAGGCCTCAAGCCAAGGATTTGGCGCCTGCGCGGACACTGTGCGGCAACGGTCATCGGCGATCGGGCTCCACCTCGGCTCACCCGACTTACACTCTAGCCGACCTCGCCGGCGTTTGTGGAACATCTCTTACTCTTTGTCAAGAGTGGAACGAAACAATTCAAGCTTGATAAGTTCTCTTTATTGTATTATTCAGATCTATTTTGTCTTGAGAGACTCTTCTTCCACTCAAAGTCGAGGAGTTGGGGCCTTCTTCGCTCCGCACAAAGACTTCTTTGGGTCTTCTACCCAGGCGCAATATGATATCCAGACTTGAATCGCTGCCAGCACCGTTGCAAGAATACCGAAGATTGCCGCCACTATAAACGCGGCTAGAGCGCACTTGTACATGTGCCGTGGGGATTTCCTCCGTTCTGCGTAGCGTTCCCATCTTGTTGTCGGTGTCGGGTCTTCGACCTCTTTCAGCAGACGGGCCAGCCTCGGGGCCCAGTGCGGATACTGCATGTACAGGTCCTGAAGGTCTTCGGGTATGTCCTGGTCGGCCGAGTGATCCAGAGAGAGGAGACAAGGTTTGAGGAGATCCGGGTCCAGATCTTGTCGTTGAACCCATTTCTGCAGAATTCGCTGGGATTGCTTGTCACCAAAGGGAGGAAACACGAGGTCGAGGGTTCTGAGGGTCTCTAACAGGAACTTAGGCGGTAAGCAGCCACTATGTTGCTACTTAGCAAGTGTTTTGTTATTCTCAGGGCGATGGGCAGACTGATTCTTACAGAGATAGAGCCTCAAGTTTGGTGTGGCTCAGATCCGCATTGTCGGCCTTGAGTACCTCGAGGCCATGTTCGAGGAATGCACGGTGGTGAAAGACCAACAACGTCTTGAATCCCTCTCCTTTGATCAAGGATAGATGATCCGACAAAGTGTCAGTCGCTGCGATGTTGACCCCAGCGTTTTTGGACAGGGTATGGGCGGTAAGGTTTCCAATGCTGACAGACTGCTCCGGTATCCCTCCAGCGAACGCTTCTGGATACACACGGTTGAGAAAGGATGAAAGTGACTCGTCGATCTTCCATTCATGGACATCGTAACTTCCAAGTGCGGTACCTTGTGTTTGGCATGCTGTCATAAATATCAATCGCACGGCACACTCCAAGATCGCTTCGGCGCTTTCGTGATTGGCAGAGGCGATGATTGATTCTTTCGCCGCCGAAGGATTTGATTTGAGCTGTACAACTGTTCTCCGCAGCTCATCTTCGTCACACCGAGAACTTGTTGCAGCAAACCGATCCGTGTAGCACTTTAAGAGTTGCGCACTTCGTAAACACCGTGTCGATGAAGCACCATCTCCGACCTTGTTTGCCCAAATGGCATTGGCAAGGCTATGTTCGACTGAATCATTCCCAGTAGGTTCCATTTCGTGTTGCTCGTGATTCGGCTTGCAGCAACTCTTTCCCAATTGTTGATGAACAGCAATCGCGTGGGCACTGTCGGATTTTGAAGCTTCCGATAGGGCTGTGTCGATTGTAAATTTCAGGCAGGCTCTCTTGGCATGATCGCATTAAGCGCGGTCTATTGGTGACGAGTCTGACACATCAGCTATCCCTTCCAATGATAGATGCTCAACCCAACGAGTAGCATGCGTAGCTTTCCCAGGTGGCGTGGCCATACGAGGCGTCCAGGTCAGCCCAACCAAGGAGTCAGCCTGGGCGTCTTCCCTTGATTGATGAGGTGCGTAAAGTCCGTACTCCCAGTGGCTAATTCTATTCCTCCCTCTCCCGCTTTTCTCAACTCGAACATCATGGGCTTCGGGGGCCTCATCGCCATGCTCGTATAACACCTCGAACTCAAATACACACCTACGTACCAATAATCTTTCGACTTATTGCCGATCGTCCAATGCTCTATACCCCTCTTTTCTGGATTCAATGAACGGTACTCGCTTCTCGGAGGTGATTGAATCCATTCGGTCACCCAGAATGTCTTGGGCGTTACCAGCTTCGCGAGAGGAAACGCAGGACAACATCAATCGCGCCATGCTACTGATATCAATCGCAGTCGCTTCTTGGACGCTAAACTACCTCGGTACTGCCGATGCCATATGCTTCTTGATATCATCTGACGTGGTGGGACTTCCTGTGTATGCGCTTGCAGAAGCATTCGTAATCGCAATGTTCAACGACGAGACGCCTATCTCGATAGACACCGACTATATGAATCAAAATTGTCAAACAATCTCATGCAGTACCCAGGGTGATGAAACCCAGTATACAGATCCCAGCAACACAGTGGCCGATAACGATTCCAGTGCGCTCGCGGATTATGTCGAAGTTCTACAGACTACCAGAGCGTGGGTCTTAGGTCCGCTGAGGTTGGAGCCTGTCAGGGCAAACCGCAATTACGCCTTCACCGACGAAGATAGAGATATTTTGAACATCTTCAAATCAGGGCTGCGGGTTTACACACATTCATTCTACCATCGAACTGGGCGCCAGTTCCCGGAAATCACACAATCCTTGGTATCCATACAGATGTGGCTAAAACCCACCGCCAAAACATACATTTGCATCTCTGGTTTCAGTAATCCGCAAGATATTGAAGCATTCGACAAAGTGTTGTCAAAAAAAGGCTACAAGGACGCTTGCAGACCCTTGGAATTCTGCTATGAACTGAGTCACATCACACTCTCAGCTAGCTCCGGGGTATACGACGTGAAGTCTTCCAGCACAGGGACTCTTTGCGGCAGCATAGCTATCTTTGTGCAGTCCAATGGGCCTCAGATCAAGTCAACTATCGGGGGACTAATTGAGGTTGATAGTCAGAGTTTTGCCTTGACAACAAAACACAGACCGGAGACCGAGATGGTCACAGATAGCGAGGAAGACAGTCCATCCTTGGCTGACTTGATGCTGAAACTTCTCGAAGACAGAGGAGTCGAAGAACTCACTCCCCAGAAATCTCCCCCTGCATCCGTTGATAGTTCAAACAAAGGGGCTATGACTCCTTTGGTGGACGAGGTTGACACCTGGGAGGATTGGGACCTCATTCCTATCGAAAAAGCACGACGCCTACCGAATTTCGTCCCCAATAACAAATCGTCGGAGAACACGACGAGAAGTAGACCGGTCACCAAGTTCGTCGACTTCGACACGAACAGCTTTTACAATGCCCTCCCGTGGCCAGTCCTCATCATCTCGGGCATGAGCGGCGTCCTTGACGGACTGCTGTCCTCGAATCCCTCGTACATGCATTGCGGTATAGACAGCTCCCACGAAGTGTGGACTGTCAAGCTGAAGCAACACGGTACGATTTGCAGTCAAGCTCTTCTCATAATAGGCAGGCTGGTTAATTTATTTATCTGACGCGCTTCTAGATCTCCAAGCAGGTGACTCCGGCTCATGGGTCGTCCGAAAGAGCGATCACGGCCTTCTCGGTATGGTGGTGGCACGCTCAGCTGGCACGGCTTACATGGTATCATTTGACAAGATAAGAGAGAGCATTGAGAGGAGTAGGAGTTTGGCGCCACACTCCGTCGAATTGCCGAAATTTTCAACCAAGAGAAGTCTCTCTCAACGCCGTGCACAGCTCATGTCGGATATCAACGAAGGTCTCTCTCAATATCATGAGGCTACACCCCCCGACAACGCCATGACCCAAAACAACCCCGTGGGATTGCGTCTCTCCAGTCTAGTGTCCCCGCTAGGCTCTGCACTTCAGACACTGCAAAACCTCATGTCGACGGTGATAGGCCCCATGAAAGACGTGTTGAAGCCGTACATGGAAAATCCCCCAGCACGAATTCCAAGGAGCGGTGGCGAATCGGAGCCGCTTTTCAATATCGCAAACCTCCCTAACAGCTTTCCCTCTCTCCTCCAAGCGCTTGACACCCGCACAATTCTCGATGTATGCCGTTGCGTCCATCCCTTGCAGTACGTCTCGTTTGCTGTTGCAGTACTCTTCATATCCCTTCGGCTTTCTGTCGGCCCTGCAACCATACCCGTTGGCTTTTTCTACTGGTTTCCCCTCTATAATTGCGTACTGCTTTATTTAGCCGGAGCTTTGATTTTTGTACGCAACCCCATTGGGCGCACCTCAGAAGAGTCTCATGGGGACTATCACATCCGACTGAGAAGGATAAACGCTTTCAGAAAACACTTCTTAATGTGGATGGCGATTTATTGGGGGAGGTGTGATTTCTATGCTGTTGGAATTTGCTTGATATCAGGCGACGAGTTAGACGAGGATCTATGTAAGTTTTCTTTCGAACCCTTGTGCCTGGTACAAACTGACGGGTTGAAAGCATGGCACATGTTCTGCCGAGCTAGAGACGCATCTTCTCCCCAAACCCCAACGAAATCCACAGTGAAGGAAGCATCCCGGTCCATTTGGAAGTTGATCTCTTCCGATTTCAGGGGCTTCCGTGGAATGTTCGAGGTGTCTTATACAGCTATTGCATGGTTTCTTTACACGAAGATATTTCGACGGCCAAACCCCATGCCTTCTGACGAGGATGAACCCAGAGGACCCCAGGCGTCTGAAAGGGCCAGAAATATCCCATATGACGATGATGGGCCATCGCGATCGAGATGAGAAACCAAGTTGTCCACTCCTAGCATCTCTCGAATACACGATACAAGCCCTTCAGATCAGCAACCTCCAACACGGCAGCCTTCATCAACGACGTAGTCGCAACCAACCTCGCCTTGAAGGCAGGGAAGAACACATGCTCAATCGCGAAACGCACATTTCTCCGCCGTTCCGCAAGCTGATCATCGATCTTGACCTCCTCCTCATTCTCGTCAGCCTCCCCGCCAACCGTCGGCGGCAGCTGCTCAGGCACATAGAAAGACGCCAACTCTTTCAAAAAGGTATCAAAACACAGCTTCTCATCCTCCCAGTTGACGCAGGGTCCGAGACGCAGCAGGAAACGAGGCAACTTGACCATGGCGGGTGTGTAGCCCTTGATCAGGAGGGGGATGGTGAGCAGCTCGCCCGCAGGGGAAACTTCGAGGGAGAAGTACTCGGTAAGCATTTCACGCCGCTCAATGAGCTGGGCGGCGACCTTCTCGACAACGTCATCAATTTCAAAGTCCTCTTCGGGAGACTCGATATTCGCCTTCTCAACCTCAGCGCCGATGCGGAGGATCTCTCGCAGGTCCAGCGGCGGCGTGAAGCGGATGGTGCCAAAATTGCCAAAATCCGTCAGCCCGACTTGATAGCAGTACTCGTAACAGGTCCGACCGTAGTCAATAAGATACATCTTGACACCGCCCTGAATAGCGGCCAATCGACGACGTTCGTCGACGACGCCGACAAATGTGTGATTTGCAAAGATTTCTGTGAGGTCGTTGTGCATGTCTTCCCTTACCTCGGCCCGAAGCTCCTTGACGCTAGTAAGCCTCATTGGTGCAAAGGGCCTATCGACCGTTTCGTACTGAATGTGCTCCGAGGCAGACAAGGCGTTCTCGTCAGCTGCCCCGGCTGCAGCCGCAGTAAGCCCGGGCGATGCCTTGGAGGGCGTAGCAGCTGTGGCTGAGGGCAGCATGCTGGTGATTTTCCGCAAGCTCGTATCGGTACGGACGAGGTTGTTAGAGTTCCTCCGTGGTCTTTTCGAGCCTGGCGTTTCTCTTGCGGGCGTCGCTGGGGTTCCCTCGCCCTCGGCCTGAGGGGATATCTCCATCATCTGACCACCCGGGAGCAAGCTCTGTGTCATGAATGTGCGACTTGTGTCTACCTCTGCCAGCTTAGAGCGTATGTGCTCGCATATTGATTGAATGACGTCATCTTCGTTCAGGAAATGCACTTCTTGCTTCGTGGGATGGACGTTGACGTCGACTCGAGCAGGGTCGATCTCGAGGCTGAGGTAGATGAATGGCCGACCGCCCTTGGGTAAAAATGAGGCGTACAGCTGCTCAAGCGCCTTTCTTATGGTAGTTGACTCTACACACCGGTGGTTGATGAATAGGAGAAAGGTAGTCTTTTTAATGTTGTAGTTGGCGTTCGTAGCCCATCCAGTAGCCTTGAAGCCCCAACGGTCTTCTGAGGTTGAGAACTGCATTAACTCGTTGGCGACACTTGAGCCGTATATCTGCCGTATTCGGTCGATTTCGCTTGCTGCAGCTTGGATGGATACACTGGTACCCGATTCGCCGTGCTTCTTGCAGGAGAAGCCCACTCCCTTACAGTGGATGGCGTAACGTCCAACAATGTCGATGATCTTATTGTATTCCTCAGCAGGCGACCTAAATGCTCTTCGACGTGTCGGTATGTTATAGAACATGTCTTCGACGCTGATCTGCGTACCCTGGCGCCCAGCAGTGGGCTTGGGCTCGGCCGACTGACCGGGCTTGGCCGGAGCCAGCTTGCCATCGAGATATGTGGCACGCCATGCGCAATTCGAGTCTTTGGTCTTGGTAGTCACGGAGAGATGGGCGATGTGGCTGATACTTGCTAGGGCTTCGCCTCTGAAGCCATACGTGGCAATCGAGGTGAGGTCCTCGAAGGCGGTGATCTTAGAAGTCGTATGACGCTCACAGAGAATCTCCATGTCTTCTCTCTTGAGCAGAGTCAGAACGGATAGGTAGATTTACGAACAGGACGCATGCCATGTCATACCTGAATACCGCATCCATTGTCGGTGATTTGCAGGAGTTTGAGGCCACCCTCCTTGACCAATACCTCGAGAGCGGTGGCACCTGCGTCAACGGAGTTCTCGATCAATTCTTTCAGCGCATTGACAGGGGCAACAATGATCTCTCCAGCGGCGATTTTATTGACTACATTCTGATCGAGGGCCTGCATACGCCTGTCAGAAGTGTAGCACGCCGAGTAAGCGGCAAATGCAACTCACGCGAATGCGACGAGGCCCTTGAGAGTCTTCCAGATCATCCTCCGCCTTCCGCTTCGTGCCAGCAGAAGGAGCGGGATCGACTTCCATATGGTCAGCCATGGCCGTCTGAGGTTCGAGAAGGCTCAATGTTGCTAGTAGCTGTTGCGGGACAGTGTAACACCAGCAAGGCGAGGCAGGAAGGCAGCTCAACAGCAAAACATCCTCACCCAACAGCTTCAGTCAGTTGGCTTGGGAATCAGTGTGAATGTACGAATTGGCAAGGTTGTCGAGTGGAGGGGAGAAAAGGCCTGCTGCCGGCGAAGATGGAGTCGCGACTACCGGGCCCATGGGTTCCCAGAGTTTGGCGCGTCTTCACGTGAGCAGCTGTTTAGTCAGCCAAAACCACTTTATGGAAGGTGCTTGCCTTGGAACCACGAACCTTCCTCGGGCACCTCAGCTACCCCGGTACGTACCAAAGTCGCCGTCCTTACCCACCGCATCCCACAACCTAAGGTAATGAGCCAGCCTACACCCATCTGCACATTACTTCAACAACCTATCAACCTCCCACCCAGGTTGCTGCAACAATACACATCCCTGACAATGCCTCTACCGCAGTAGCCCCTGGGTAATACAGTTTACGGTTGCAGTCCTCGAATCCATGTCGTCTTCACCGTTATCTGACCAATTTGCACCTGTCACAATTCTGCACAACACAGCACTCGGATCGACATCTCTGACGCTGGCAAAAACCCATCCAGATGCGATGACGCTAGAGTACCATCGAATTCGCAAGACTGGGACACTGAAAGATCATTTATGATCGATCTTCGAAGTCGTGCTTTAGTTTCTAAAGATTCCAGGTTTTGATCCGGGGCGTATCTGTCAACCCTGCAAGCATAGATCACCAGTGATCAAACCAGGGACTGTCGATGTAGTCCATCGATCAGATTCACCGAAAACACCACCGTTGACATTCCTCGTGTGGAGGCTGTGGCGGTATTCGACACCGAAAGTCTCTAATGTTCAAGAAAATGTCACCTGCCGAGCCCAGCCATCAGGCACAAACGAAACCGCGATTGTATTCACTCTACTTGGTCGAAAACGCCTTGGACGTCTGGTCTGTCAACAAATCTACTTCACAGAAGCTTCGCAGAACCCCCTGAAGAAGTTCATTCCTCGAAGGGTGACTCAGACAGCGGCACACTCCGAGACATGCCCTGACCTCGGCCTAACATAAACGCCTTTGTTGTTCGCTGGAGATACTTCCAATGGGACAGAGAAGAACAGACAGTTGCCATCTCTTGCACATTAATCCAAAGCTTCGGATACCGAAAGTCTGGCCTCATCATCATGAAATTTGGCGAGGCACCCCAAACCACGGCTTCTCGCATGAAGTTGACGAACAGGGCTTCTCGCGCACAAACCGGCAACATTTACACCATTTACAACCAGCCGGCACATGGTCGTCGTTTGAGAACCGTGCACTTTTTCAGAAACTGACCAAAATATAACGACAAGCATCCGAACTGCCCGCACCAGCGCCGGCCGCCAGGCCATTTTTGCAAAGATTGCCGTATCCTCTTTTTGGACCATTGTCAGTCTAACACCAACCAACTCCACGTACTCCGTACACTACCAGCGGCGCCTGCCATGTGCAAAGACGAGCCAGCAGAAAGCACCGCAGGTGACGGCGTGGCCTCGACACCCGCCCATCTCTCGAGTGCGAGGTAAGTTGGCCCTTCCCCTGGTCCTTTCCAGGCCCACCGCTGCCACTACGTGCATGGTTGTAGTGTCACGTCTGACAGCGGGTCCAGCGGATGGAGCTCAAGACTACCTTCACCAGATCCTATCATTTCGGACCCAACCATGACACCCGGCCGGCGTATCCCCCGAAGTCCTCTTGCTCCTCTGTCCCACGCCGAGAGCTTGATGGACATGCAAATTCCTCAACCGTCGGGGTCACTTCAGGTCGGCAGGAAACGGGACATTGATGAGGTTTTCGACGATAGCACGCCACCCTCGCCCGATAAGCTACAACGCGAGCTCGATCAGCAGCACGATGAGGCCAAGGAGGAGGCCATGAACACCAGTCGCAACTTGACAACGAGTACACTCATGCCCCCTGACACTCAATTGCAAGCCCATGAGCCAGACAGCAAGCGGCGCAAGACACTCGCCTACCGAGTCAAGCCTCCTACTCGCAGTGCTAGCCCGCACTACGGGCATGGCTCCGAGCATGGCCACGAGGATGACAGCGGCCGCCAAAACACGGTCGAACGACAAGCCAGCCGCAAATCAAACTCTCCAAAAAACGGTTGAGAAGCGGGCGCTTGTCGCCGCCACCATTGAAGCATCAGCCTGTCCCATGATGCCATCCATGCAGGAACAGGACGGCCTACCGCCCAACGTCCACCGGCAACGCAGCATCGCCCCTCTTCTTATCAGAGTCTAGTATCCGTAGGGCCTCTCGGTAGACCTAGGACCCCAGCACCTCGCGTGGTTCGGATACTTGACGGTCGTCCTACAGTATCTTACGGAGTGCTTCTCGTCCTCAGCAGACGGCAACGAACCCCGATTACAGAGGCTCACTAGCAACACGGCAGTGGAGAGAAACCCTCCTCATCTCTTGATCTCGACAGCGGGCATTGCGAAGACGTCTGGCAGCTGTCGACCGGTGTTGATAGTGCGACTAGCTTTCCCACGTTGTGGTTTAGCGGCCGGCACTGCCACTATCCGGCGCCCCTCCCTCATTTCCTCCCCCCAACTCCTCCAAGCAAACGTGCGCCCATAGGACCTGGCTGCCATGCGAGGCCCGTTTCGAAACAACCTTAACCGTGTGCGCCTTTCCCATTTGCGCTGCAAACGACAACTGCTCAGAGTGCTCAAGAGTCCATTTCAGGAACCTTCGCCCCCCCTCACGACCCTTTCGCGGTCTAGCGCGCTGGGGACGTCAAGAACGTAGAGGGCCGAATCCAGTGAGAATCATGAAGATCCTTCGGCAGCGCCTCTTTTGTTTCAGGTCGACGCTCTCAAGATGGTTTCCTTTTCGCATCGGAATTTGCTTCTTCTCTTCGTCCACATCCTTTCGCCGTTCTCTCCGTACTCTGCAGAGTCACTCGAGCGGCACAGTTCAACGCCTCGTGTTTGCACTTGACGGCGTCTTCTCCCTTCCCGGAATAGCAAATAGACAATTACAAACCCCTGCCGCGTCTTGCCGCTTTCAGCTGTTCGCATCCACTACAGTTCCCAATATGTTCATCAGCGTTTCAACTTTGGGTGGTGGTCTCCGTCGCTCGGACGAATGCGAACATGTGGTGGTGTCCTCTCCCGCCGGCAACCCAAAGGTCTCAATTCTCAACCATTAGGAATACTGCCTCCCTTCTTTTCGCCAGCAAAGCACACCAATTCAAAAGCTTCTCGCATCCCTCAATCTCCTTGAATTCCGCTGATCAGCTGAATGGTCAAGGGTGCTGTCCGTGGTTTTCAATATTGGACAGGTATACCCACCCCAAAGATGCACAATGACCGAATGAAAAACTCTTTTGGGCCACCAACAATCTGCCCGGCTCCGTCTCGGAGATTTTTCTCAACCGTAACGAGCAACCTCCAGTGCATCCCCCTGCACCTCTTCATCCCATTCCCCTGGCTGGTGCCTCGGTGGTTGGATCCACTGCAGGCCCGTTTCGTTTCGTTTCGTTTCCTCGCTCGTTTCCCTGTCCCTCCTTTCGGTTGGGCCTCTGGGGTAAAATAAAGGGACGCACGAACGACTTTTGACTACGCAGGAAGAAAGACAAAAAGAGAGAGATGCCCGGGGAGAGGGGGGCGGACAGAAGACGACGGTCAACTCAAGACCCCCTGAGCATCGCATCTTTTTTCTCTCACCTCATCTCTCGAGTCCCGCTCAGTCTGTTACTCTCTTACTTTGTTGGGGGATGCTGCCCACATTACGGCACACGACCGAAGGAAGGATCTGCGGGAACGTTGGCGATGAAGAAACGGACAAACATGTCTATCATCTGACGGCATGAAGGCAGCTCGCACTCTAGGTTGAGTAGGCCAACGCTGCCACAGAAGCACAAAACCAAACACAAGATTCGAGCCAACGCCGAAGAAAGAAAAAGGACATGCAGCACACGGAGAGACACAGAGATGTCAGAGACTATGACTCGAGCCAATGGCAACATCAATCCATCCCGAACGTCCAAACAAGAACCATGGACCTCCCGAGGAAAACTCCCGATAATCCCTCCCCCCTCCACCATCCTTCTCTTCTTCCCTCCCAGTCTCCCACTCTCTTCCATCCTTGGCCCATCTCATATCGCCCACTCTCGCTTCTCATCACCTAAGATCATGGATTATATGCAATGGTTCATCGGCAAGAGAGGGAAAAATGGGACCCAAAACCAGACCGAGCGATTATCATCCATCCTCAACCAATACTTCAAGCGGGCGGCAGCACCATTCCAATACCAGGGCCGGACTATACCTTCCAATGCGGATGCAACTAGGAGCCACGCGAAATGACACACACTTCCGCCTGCACCACTTGCATTGGACACGAGGGACGCAAGAAAGCAACGCAACGCAACGCACGCAGACAGGTACATTAGGAAGCACGCATCCGCATCCGCCGGCTGTGGGTGCCTGAATGGGCACAGACGAGCTTTTGCAAAAGACGCAGATTTGACTTGCGCCGCAGTGGACTGCAGAGAAGTGAGGACAAGGCAGGGGTAGCCAAAGGGGGAAACGAAACGTTGGATGGGGGGTTCAAAGTGAGTGACCAATCCTCTTTCATTGCAGTCTTGTGAACCAAGGTGGTTTAAATTATCTACGGGCCTGTTGTTGCAGTGGCAGCCGAACGTCGTTCTTTGCTCTAGGCTCTCTTTTCTCAAGTTCTCTCTTATACAACAACCGCCTCTCTCTCTTTTCTTGTCCACCCCCCTTCCCTTCCTACTCCTCTTCCCTCTTTTCACCTTCGGCCGAGATCTCGCAATATTATGCTCTCCCGAGCATCTCGTTCCCATGTCACCTTACCGGTGCACACTACGCCTCCACCACACTCCCGCACCATGAAGCATGGAACACCCCTTCATCAACGCTCCACGGCCATGGCTACGATAAACAGTTCCACGGGTTGACCTGCCGGAATTGCGGCAGATGCTCTACCGCACTGACCCCTTCCCGATGGTCTCCGCAATTCCCGGACCTGAGTAATGGGGCAACTCTCCTGTCAAAAGTCTGCGGCCTCGCCCTTCCCCCGCTCGTTTGCCCAGGTTCTTCTTCAAGTAATGGAAGCAAACGAAGAGGCATCTTGCCACTTGTTGAGTTGTTCGTTGGAATCAGCCTGTCGTCGACATGGGGCTTTTCGAAATTCCGGATCCGGTACTCATCATCATCCTGGACGCCATCGTCACCACGTCGGGTATTACCCATCATTACAGAAGTCTAAGTTAGACGACGACGACGACGACGACGAAAACAACACTGGGTGGGGCACTTCAGCAGCAAGGCAACATGAACGGAGCAACGCGGTAGTTGGCAAGGAATCGCCGGATGAGCCTTCTTTTCTTTAAGGGATATAACAAGAAAACGGTATCTGGGGACCCAGACAGCAACAAAGACACGCATATGACCGCCCCATGGCTCTTCTCATTCCGCCGCCAATTTCTTTGGAGACGACGGGCCATATTCCTACACTCTCCAACGTCATTCAGCATTGGATTGGATGCAACAACAGACGCAACCTGCCCAGCCCAGGGAATCGAAGCCAAAGAAAAAAAAAACGCCCAAACGGATGCCAAAATGCCCCAATTGGAAGCAGGAGGAAAACAGTATGTGCAAGGGGGTCGAGCAAAAAGCAAAAAAAAAGTTGGTGGTTATACAAGTGGTATCTCGTGATGGCTCGTGGCCGCCGGAAAAACAACAACGATGGACCCGAAGGCGGACATGGAAACGAAGGGAACTCGATACAAATACAAGAGGCGAACGACGCGGAGACCGCCCACCTCAACACACGGTCAAAAATGTCAATGGACCAGAATTCGGTCTCGAATGCAGCCTCTATCGCTATTGGGAAGGAGACGTACACCGAGCCGGGTGAAGGGAATTATTATCGACCACAACCGCTAGGGCGGCAGGAAGTCATTACTCATTGCGGACGTCGTTGCTGCGGGTCCGGCTTCTCGAGAAGGCCGCCAATATCGACCCGTCCGGATCGTTCGTCCCTTTGCCAGGAAGATGATTCTGGTTGAGGAGGTTGATGGGGGCCAGCTCGGATCGGAGGCAACTGGAAAGATGGCTGCGGCGGCCGAGTGGTCGGCGGCAGCTCACTGCGAGGGATCTGGTACGACGAGGGTCCGCTGGCGTACTCGGGACGGCTAGGTGAGGCCGCATATGAGGGCATGCCAGGACTGATGCCGGGGCTTAGACCAGAAGCCATGTGCAGAGGTTGGCCAGGGGATGGGCGCGGCGCGAGTGCGCCTTCTCCGAATCGAGGTCTCGGCTGCTCGAACGTGGCGGAGACGGGAGTGTGCTGCGCGTATGCCTGCTGTTGAGGCGGATAAGGATACGGCACCTCGCGTGCATGCGGAGATGGCGAGGGATACGGATACCGCGGTGCGGCATTGATGAGGAGGACGATGAAGTAAATCGATTCACGCTTGGCCAAACCCAGACGCACGGAATACGACCTCGGCTGTCCATCGCTTGCCGCGAAAACGAAGAAGTCTTGACGATCGAGCTGGAACCGCGAAATCTCATCGGCCTCGAATCGCAACGAGTCGAAAACGCGCTCTTGCTCCTGCCTGCCGAAGATAGGAGGTAGGTAGACGGGGTCCTTTCTTGTTCGCTCCTCTTGTATCTGCCGTTGATGGCTCTGAAGCTTCTCGCGCTCAGTGGGCACCACGATGTCGAAGAGGGAGCGGCCTCTGACGTTGGGAATTCCGACGGCATCAGCAAAAGCCGGCGAGGCACGCGCAATCTCCAGTTCTGTCGTCAAGAAGATGACTGGCTCGGGCGCCCCAGACGCGAGAGACGGGGGCTGGCCGTACAGGTTCGCGTCGGCCATGGGAGCTCTGTCCAGATACCGAGGCGCAATGGGTTCGCTTGGTTGAGACTTTAGAACGCGATAGGAGTGACTGCCTCGGATGGGGTCGTCGTACCCTGAGATGGGAGTGCCAGCTGAGTAGTGGCTCAGCGGCGGTCTCCTTGCTGCCGCGGCGGCGGCGGCTGCGGCATCCTGAGGATGCTGATATGTCGAGGGGCCATAGCGGGCTTCTCGGTCGTCTCTCAGCCGCGGGCGGCCACGCTTCTTGTGTTGCACATCAACGCAGGCGTCTTCCTTGCCGTTGCTTGTGCATCTCGAACAGGGCCGTTGAGCTATTTGTCGCAAGCGCACGTCAGCGAAACTGTCATCCGGTTGTGGTGTTCTCTCTCCACACACACTAAAGAGCAAAAAAAGAAAACACGCAAGCGCACGATCCAAAGCTGTTGCAAGTGCAAAAGCCGCACCTCCACAACCACCACCACAAGTCAAGCAAAAAAGCTTACATGACGTCTTCCAACGGGCACTTGCTCGTCAGTCGCGTGGCTTAGACATTTGGTTGCTTTTCCCACCCCATCCGACCCCCAGCTGCCATGCGTCGCATCCGACACGTCAATGACACGCTAGTTCTGTCCACTTGGATCATCCCGCGACCAGACCAGACGGAGCAGCGATCGACCAGCCAAGTCCACCCAGAAAAAAGCTCTCGTGCAAGGGAAAATCGCCTCCGCTTTCTGTTTCAGAAATGGCACAATCGATAGCAACCACACCCGGTCCGACGACACGCGATTGGCGAATTCACCGCATCCCTAACCGTAATCAAGATTCGAGGGTCGCTCCCGGGGGTGCCGGCTGTTACCCGCCAATCTTCCCAAAATGCCGGGCCGACACTCCGGGGCGAACGGGTCCAGGAACCAGACGGCGCAAGAACCGGTAGTGGTTGGCCGATCGTTTGGTTGTGAGAATGAGAGACGCTGGAGGAGCTGAGATGGCCGGCGCGGAAGTCCGGCCAAGAAAGACCCATGTTCTCTCTCTGCTGGAATTGACGCCAGTCCAGTTGGGCCACACGGACACCCGCTGAACCCAAGTAAGACTTGGTTGACAGCCTTTGACGGCGTGCGCCATCCCATTCAACGCAACCATCTCAACTCTCCGTCCGAGTTTCTGCGAATGATCCTCCCAGACGGGATCGTCTTCCCCTCAGCACCGGTCTCAGGTCAAGGGGTTGATCCCTGCGCTGCTTCGAGTGTCGCACGCACGTACGCCTTGCTAGGTTAATGCCGCGTCCAGATTCGCTCTCGGAGCCTCTTGACCGGTCATGATGTCAAGTGCTGTTCCCCCCAAAGATTTGGAGCCGCATGCGCCCGGAGGCTGCAGTGCTGGTTCCTTGCAGTCCGCGGGAGTTTCCTCTTTTGGTCGATCCCCCAGTCGGAAAGGACAATGCAAAATTGACAACCTAAAGAAAGAAAAACGCAAAACGACAGACAAAAAAAAACCAAAATCAAAAATAGGCTAGCTAGCAAGCCAGTCGTACGTACCGTCGCATCTAGACTAAATGTCAGCGTCACCGTATCGAGATACCACCGCCCGTTTCACTTGGGATATCTGCGGGGAGAGTGGTAACCTACCGAAGATGGGCTCGTTTACATGGCACACAGGCTGATGCCACATGGCCCTTTGTCTTTCTTTGCGTCTTGGGAGACGTATAGGGACCGCTGTCCTGGGATGTCTGCGACATGGTCGTCGCGTAGCCATGCTGATGAGGTCCTGTTGGCTGTGGCGGCGGTGGCCCAGACATTTGCATGTAGGGCGGAGGAGGCCGCTGCTGCATGACCTGGCTTGCCAGATGTGCGTATCCTGAAGGCGTAGTCCGCAGGTGGTCGTCGGGTCGAGGGTATGAGTAAGGCATCCTGTCTTGCGGATCGGCGTGATATGATCGGGGCTGGGGTGGCGGCAAGGAATGCGGCGGAGGCGGAGGACCTCGGTAGTCGCCTTGCGGTATCGTCGTTGGCGGCAGTCCTCCCCGGTAGGCATTTTGCGGGCTGGTGGACGGATAGCTGCCATGCAGTTGCCCTCGGTCACCAGCCTCTGGATTTGGCTTGGGCGGGAGAGGAGGAGACCCTGACATGGGCGGGGAAGGATATGCTCTGGGTCGAGCAGGAGTCTCGGACTCTGCTCTTGTTGGCGTTGCCCAGGTCAGGTCGAGGGCGAATCGCGCCAGATCGGAAATGCCTCGGCGCTGGCCGAACGAGGTAGACGACGTGTCGCAATCGCTACTTATGGCTTGCATGGATGTTGTGATGCAGCTTCAACGGGCACCCGGGTCGAGAGCTTCTCACGCCTTCTTTTAGACGACGTCTCGTTTCCCAGAATGTTGCGAAAGGCCGGAACTATCACGTAGACGCTGTCGGTGCGTCGTATGCTGTTGGCGATATTCTGAAGCTCGCCGTGTCGGTCTTTGGCGTGCGCCGGGCCCAAATCAAATTACCCTTCTTTTCTCAAGGGACGTTGTACTCTGTGGCTCCTTTCGGAAGATGCCTTTTTCTCTTGATCGAATCAGTTGAATTCCTCCTCTTGTCCACTCAGTCTCGAAACACCGGTTCCGATGGGGAGAAGAAAGCTCTTTCGTGGATTTCGCAGAAATACTCGATATGGCGAATAGCAAAAGTCTGAACCAGCGGGTATTTCAATGACAATGCAAGCTCGCGCGCCGTCTTTAATTACTCAACCGGGCGTTCGTGCTAGGTGTGAGAGTCGCAAGAGAAGACCGGTTCAGCTGTGCTAGGGACGCAGGCCAGGAATGAGAAGATGCAGAGTCCGATGCTGTAAGACGACGAGGCTGCTGTAGCAGAAAGCTCGCACAATGATCCTCCAAGCTCCAATGAAGCTCCTTGCGGCGTTGCTGGCGGGTCGTCGAGCGCGATGCTGATGCGGGCAGTTGCAGGAGGTACCACGACAGAACCTCAGGCGCGGGATGCGGAGATGGATGGCTGGATACCTGCGTACCGGCGACCTGTCTTTGGGTACGGATGTATAAGTGATGGAATAAGAGAAAAAGAGAAGGGCGGAAGTAGAGAAAAGGGAGGAAGACGATGTAGATCTAGTCTACCCCTAGCCTCTTTTTGTCTCTCCGATTCTCTCTCCTCTCGGCGGCCGGAATAAAGAAGCGTTATTTCTCGAGGGCTGGATACGTTGGAGAGAAGGACCCATAGGCTTTTTTTTTTTTTTGGCAGCAGTCGATCGGTGGCTCCCGGTCGGTTTTTGTGTGACTGGAGGCAGGCTTGCTAGACCTACGAGGGGAGGGGGCAATTGAGATGAAGCTAGGGTGTGGTTCAGGGTTGATCTGGTCGAGGGAAAGGTAGGCCAGGGAACACCCTGGTCGACGTCTTTAGAGTGGCTGCTAATCAAGGGTAGAGGGCTATGCCATCACGATCCCCTGTTCAACGACAATTCTCCGCGCGTCTGTGTGTGAGAGGTGTGTGTGAGTGTGTGCAGGTTGGGATGAGGTAAGGTACGATGCTTTCTGCGACGTATCCGTCTTGAGTGCGAGGGAACCGGAGGGGGGGCGTGTAGGAGAGAAAGGACAGAGTGAGAGAGAGTGCGAGGGAGTGAGTATGTGTGTGTGAAAGAAAGAGGTAGATAGAGAGGGAAGAAAAATCATTGACTGGCAGCATTGCCAGCCGTGGGCAGCAAAAACAGAAAACCAGTAACTTGAAGCAGTCAGTACGGTGGCCAGGGAGGAGATGATAATATTGGTTGACGGTAGCGATGGCGATAGTAGCGCTGGGTCTGAGGGTTCCCGGATGAGATTAAACCAGGCACGTATGAAGCCACAACGTAATAAGACAGTGGGGGAGACAAGAGTCAGTTGGCCATAGTCCAGTGAAAGGTGAGTGAAGGAAGAGATGCGGACACGGGACGGGACCGCGGGCGTGGCCAAGACCAGAGAAAGCTAGGTAGCAGGACTATCCGCAGAGAGCGAAAGACAGAGAGGGGACGGAGAAATAAGATGCAATAATAATTTACGGTGGAAATCAAAAGGGCTTCATTGCGCCTGCAGGCTCTCCCTCACTGTGTCTCTTCCCGACCACAGTATTCACTTTTGCAACTTTAGCAGTGAGGGCCAGTATGCAGCGTGCAAAGTACCAAATTTGATTGGGGATGCGAAGGAGGGATGGTTCAGGTGGGAGTGGACAGGGAGGGGTGGACGTTGTCTCGAATGTCGGGGCCGGTAGCAGATGGCAGATGGCAGGATGGGTATTACAATGTAGCCGGGAGCCAGGAAGGAGGAAAAGAAGACTGACTGGTGGATGCGGATGGGGGATGGATGGGATGGGACGGATTTCGTACAAGGATAAGATGGGATGGATGGGTGGAGAGTACGGATACCTAGGCGAGGATGTATGTACACATACTCCATAGATGGAGGGGGGAGGAGGAGAAGGAGGAGACAGACCAACACCCGGGGGGTTAACTCTCCAAGTCAAGGTATATGTACGGATACACTAGAAAGGGTAGAGACCAAGCCAGGATGAAGACAGGCAGCGGGAGAGAGTGGAGGAAGTGTAAGATTGACTTGATATCGATGGTATTGAAGAGAGCGAGCTTGGAGGGGCGTGGAAGCGGCAGAGAGTGGGGAAAAGAGAAGATTGAATCTGCGAAAGAAAAGAAGCAAGCAACGAGCCAGGAGAGTAAGTATCCGTACCGGGCAGGATACACAGTAAGGTATCCGTAGGTAAGTAATGCAGACGTTGAAAAGGATGATCGATCTTCCTTTGCAATTGACTTTGATCTCTCGAGTACCTTGCAGATGGAAGAAGTGTAGCTTACCCAGGCACGCACGCACACCGGGACAAAGAACATGGACAACATGCTGATAGCCCATGTGGCCGTGGTGTGCTGTGGCTCTCATCTGGAGATGTACATACATACGTAGTAGGTAAGGCAGGACGAGACGAGACCGTTCGAGCCAGGTATATCGGAGTACGTACTGACGGAACGCATGGCAACGCTCGAGCCACCGTTGTAATCGCTGCACATAGGTTTGCGGCGGTGGCTGCTGATGCTCGTGGTTATGATGCCGGTGGTGGTGGTGGTGGTGGTGTCGGTAGCCCAGGGTCCAGGGGGTAAGGCAGCGGTAGGTAAGTCCATACATTGGCACGTAAGTAGGAGGGGGGGAGACAGATGAGCGGACGTGGGTACGTGGAACTGGGTGAGGGACAGGGGGGAAGAAGAGGAAAAGACACAACGAGGAACGAACTGGGGGTGGGAGGGTGTGAATGCAGCAATGTAGACGGGGTCGAAAGAAGGTTATGGGATATGTGGAGAGGCGAGCGGAGGGATCGACCTGCGAGCGCAACAGAGAGATGAGATGACGGGTCTAAGATGGTGGTATTGAATGGGAAAAAGACGTACGCGTAGCCACGCACGATGGGATAAGGTAGCCGTGGCACAACAACCCACGACAAGGGATATGTGCAAGAGTTCAGGTGTTCATCAGATGTTGCAACTTGCGAGGCCGCTGGGGGAGGAGACTGGAGTTGACTGGAAAGAGAGGAAGTATCCGTATCCGTAACCACGCCTTGAATGGCGAGGTAAGGGAACCTGCCATCCCATCCTCGTCAGCTATCCAACTACGTACAATGCTACTACCCTTGAGTACCTTGCTATTGGCAAGGGGCAAGGACCACGGTATCCGTACGTGAGGTGCCGCCCTCGGAGTCGGAGACCGCTGCAAGGCAAGGTATGTCGGACGACGGGTAACAAGGCAACTTACTGTGGTATCCGAACGGAGTACCAAGTAATAGCGTACGAATATTGGTAGGTGAGTGAAGGAAGGCAAGGATACCGAACATGCTCATGCTTGAGGGGATGGAATGCGGCTATGGCAGCGTGGCAGCGGAAGGAGAAAAGGTGACAGGGCGCCTTCTGGTCCCCCCATCCCCATCCATCCATCCACGTTCGTTCTCTCCGAGCTTGGCTTGTCCTGGTCCCATTTCCTTTGTGAGTCGCTCCTGTGCTGTGCCGTCCGATGTATTATCCGTCCGCGTCCGAGCCCTGGCCTGTCATCATCCTTGAGCGGCTCGAGGCACGTCCGTCCTCCTGCGTGTCTGTCTCGGATGGTCCTCTGAGTTGTCGATACGATGAGAGACATGATTAAGGTATCCGTGGACTGGGCAGGGAGGATGTCTTACAGTCTTAGCGGCCACTAGGTGGCACCTCACCAAAGACACACGGCACGTTGCGCCCTAGCGCTGCGCCAGCGAAACGGAGACGGATGCATGTACAATTAGTGATGTACTACGCACCTAGACTGTTGCGGATGTTGATACCTAGCTAAAGCACGGGTTGCTCAACGAGCACATCAATACGTTAACTAGGCCGAGGCCTGTCCTCGTCGTGGACGAGCTCCAATGTCCTGGCGAGATACCAAGTTGTCACTGCACACAAGCTCAGCTAGGTCGGCATCAGTGTAGGATCTGTGCCTCGCCTCATTTCGGGCTCTCCACACAGCAAAGCCCATGAATCCACGGTGCACTGTGGCGTAGATGCATTGTCGTCAGTCTCCGGCGGATCGTTGATCGGTGCTCGTGCAATTTTGCCGTAACCCATGGCTTCGCAGATTCGCCAAAATATCCAACTCGGTATTCTTACGGATACGGAGGCGTCCTCCCAACGACGAAGTCGCGGGTGGGTATACCAATCCATTAGGAGTCAGAGTCTTGACTAGACTACAGATTCCGTTGCATTCGTATTGCTCGGCCGGCCAGGAAAGAAAAGGTATCAGCAACGATTTCGTAGGGACGTTGTCTAAGAATCTTGGGGCTCGAGTGAAGTAATCGCCACGTCCAATTCTCTCTTTCAGCCGCCTTCCATGGGTGGCCCTTCTTCAGCGCGGCCGTTCTCCAAATGAAACTCTACCTGCTCCAGGGTACCCATTCTGTGGCTGACGGCCAGGCCGGCCGGGCAGGGCGAGCTGACTTTGACGGGGGCAGAAGGCTGAGATGGGGATGCAACTGGAGAATGAGAATGAGATGGAGCTAGAAGCCACTTCGTGATACCTAGCCACCTAGCTCATAGGCAAGCCGGGTTAAAGGGTCTTGAAAGTCGAGGGTCAACGCTGCTAGTGGAAGGGTGGGCAAGACGTTATTGGCATGGACCAGGTGTGCTCATAGACGGACGGCTGTGAGCGAGGAACCTTGAAGAGCCAGCTGTCACCGTTACTCTCCACCAACCATCCACCTTGGGCTTGGGGCCCCTAGCTCCTAGCTCCTAGTTCTTAGCTCGCCGATTGACGTGCGGCCGTGAGTAGTGCGCGCGCGCGCGCGAGAGAGAGAACTTGTGTGGCTGTGGTTGTGATCATGACCGTGGCCGTGGCCAGAAGCAGGGTCGTGCGCAGGTGAGAAGGAAATGACTTGTGGACGACAGTCTGCAGACAACCTGGATCGGGCGGCATGGTTGGATAGATCCGGCCACGATCCATCGAAAAAGAAAGCTGGGCCATTTGATGACGGTTGAGGGTTCACCGCGGAATCCACGTCTTAATAACACAAGTTACCCATTCGTACTGAGTAACAAGCAGGGTAGCTAGACAACCTTGAGCCAACTGTTTGCCTCGTTCTTGTTAGAGGGTAGATCCATCAGGTATTTGCACCTTCGATATGCTTCCAATTTGATGGTTAGAGAAAGGTGCCAGGTGTGGTCAAGATCAAAAAGGACCGACGAGTATCTGTATTCTCAACAATGATTTTTGTCTCGCGAGTTGCATTAGGTTGGCAAACGCAGCGTTGTTCCCAGCATTGCATCTCAAGACTTCGGCGTATCTATTCGTGAAATATTCCTGTTCACTGCATTAATCTCCAGCATCTGCACTAGAGCCTGCGGAGGAGGGAGCAGTGGTCACTCACCGGCTGGGGATGACGAAGCTCAAACCGAAGCAAAATTGCTGTGCAGCGGAGAAGACCAGACGTCACCTGCTGGATGCTGCCCTGCAGGGACAGGGAGGCCCAATGTAGACACGACTTGCTCCAGGAGCCACTGAAGTATTTCCAGAGAAGTTTCGACTACTTTGTCGGCATGGTTTCTGAGTGCGGGTCACATCAGGTCATCTCCAGTTTCCGTCCGAACTTGGTGGCAGGGATGTCAGGGAGCAGGTACGCAGACACATCAGGCCCAGGAACAGTCGAACAGGACCAATGGGCCAGAAACAGAATCAGACTCGGACGCGGCATGGCTTCATCTCGTACAGACATCTGACAGACAAAGATCATGGATCCGTATCCGTAGGTAGACTGATCAACTCGGTCCACCGTCCACCAAGCACGAAGTTTGAACACATGCTCTCTCGTTCTCCCTTGCTTATCCGCCGTTGACATCGCCGAAACCCACCAGCAGCAAGCAGCACCTGGACCACGAGCTCAGTCCGCAAGAGAGGCGGTAAGCCGATGGAAACCAACCATTTGTCGGTGGTAACTGGTGCCCGTCTTGTCTCTCTCGGAGCTAGAGGCGGTTGCTCCCACCGTGCCGTATTGAATACCCCCAACGGCCCTGTCCTGTCCTCCAATACGACTGATTGATTTGGGAGCCGCTGTGTTGGTATAATACCCACAACGTCCTGCTTCTTCTGCCTGTTGTTCCCCCTAGGTTTGACGAGGTCGAGGTACCCGTACGCTGCCAACACGGGCACTAGCCGTTTTGCATGCTTTACCGGTCCGAACAAGGCCATACCTTCCAAGTATGTTGCTGGCCCTCTGCTCGTCCATTCATCCACATAGTCGTGTGCGCTCTTCGCTTCGGAAAGCAAATCATTCTGATGGGTGCCAGGTGCGATATATCAACTGGGCCAAGGTCGCAACGGTGAACTACCAGGCCTGTCCTGGTATGTGCGCTGCCCGCCCGGTTCTCGCCAAAAACACCCTCGCCGCCACCGCCTCCCCTACTCCTCAGAAGTCAAAAGCCTGGCACCCTTACCCTGCCTTAGTACGGCACCGGGGCTGGGGGCTT